TAAGTGGATATCCCCTGCTGTTCTCTGTGAAGAGCTGGAAGCTCAGATCAAGGTCGGCCATGTTAAGTCTTAAGCTAGACTCTTTAGCTCCTCATGAACTCTGCTAACCACCAGTCTCTGGTCCCAGTCAAGACTTCAGTGAACCAGCCCAAACCAGTTCCAGATCCAGTTCATAATCTTGTGTTTTTGTGAAACCTCAATAAACTCTGTTAAACTTTTATCCAGCCTCCGTTGTGTTCTGCATATGGGCTTGCCTCTTTGACCCATCATGACAGAACACTGCGGCCAAACACAAAGCCCAGCAGATCACCTCCGTCGGTGGCTTGAGGAACGAGACGCCCAGATCCTTGGACATGCGCATACCCTCCGTGAGTTGCATACTAGATGTAAACACCAGAATCAAATGCTTCAAACTTATGCCAGCTACATGGGCAAAGCTAACGCCACGTCAGCGGCACATCCAGTTCCGGATCCACTTCCGCTTCCTAGGTCACCGGCAGTGACGTCACTTCCTGTTCAAGATAGTAATCTTCCTTTCTGGTCAGAACCCAGCCCGTCGTTTTCAGTATTCAGCCCTTCACTGCCTGAGAGATTTTCCGGCAACCCAAGTAAGTTCAGGAGATTTCTGTTCCAGTGTCAGCTATTTTTTTATTTTTATGAGTCGAGTTTTCTTTATGATAAGAGTAGGATAGCTTTTGTTGTGTCTTTTCTGTCCGGAGAAGCCCTTGAATGGGCGGAGACCAGATTTCCTTTTGACTGTACTTATGAGAGATTCATCCAGGAGTTTGAAAGGACCTTTAATCAGGTCACTAATCAGTCCATCGTTTCTAGTGGACTTTTTGAAACTAAACAGGGAGATAGATCAGTTGCCGAGTTTTCTTTTGATTTCCAGGATAAAGCAGCCGTTTCCGGGTGGAACGAGTCTGCGCTCAAAACCGCTTATCTCCTAGCTCTAAATGAACCAGTCAGGAACGAACTAACATTTTTCGATGAGCCAGCTAACTTGGAGGACCTTATAGAGCTAGCTATTGGACTAGATATTGAACTACAAACCAGATCCAGAGCCGTCCAGCTTCAGACTCAGGATTCTAGTTCCCTTCTGCGCAAGGTCAGTCTCAGCTCTCATATACTCGAACTCCACTTAGCTCCATCTGTTAAAGGACTCAAGATAGGCCCACAAGTTACACCTCAAACAGTTAAGAGTTCCCCGCCAAACTGATCAGACACCTGAACCCGTCACCTCTGTTTCTGAACCTGTTCCCATGCCTGATTTTCTAGCCTCTGAACCAGTAATCCGTTCTGGAACTCTAATTTTTCAACCCGTTAACTTGTTACCAGAATCAGTCATCAAACCTGTTAGCTCAGCTCCAAAGACCCCTCGGCGTAAGAAACGGCGTCGCCATAAGTCAGCTCTGTGCTGTCTAGAGGCCCCTGGGTCAGCTCTGTGCCGTCTAGAGACCCCTGAGTCAGCTCTGTGCCGTCCAGAGACCCCTGAGCCTGCCCTATGCCGTCCAGAGACCCCTAAGCATATGTTTAAAAGGGCTTCAGAGTTCGGAGTTGGTGGAAATATGCCTCCAAGAGCCTCTCAGCAGGGGCCACGAACCGCCAAGAGCCCTCTACAGGCACTTCAAGCCACTTCAGAGACTGAACATGTGCCTCCATGGGTGGTCTCCCCTGTTCCTGAGATGGAGCCACAGTCAGTGGTTTCCCCTGTTCCAGAGGTGGAGCCACAGTCGGTGGTTTCCCCTGTTCCTGAGGTGGAGCCACAGTCGGTGGTTTCCCCTGTTCCTGAGGTGGAGCCACAGTCGGTGGTCTCTCCTGTTCCGGAGGTGGACCCACAGTCGGTGGCCTCTCCTGTTCCTGAGGTGGAGCCACAGTCGGTGGTCTCTCCTGTTCCTGAGGTGGAGCCACAGTCGGTGGTCTCTCCTGTTCCTGAGGTGGAGCCACAGTCGGTGGTCTCCCCTGTTCCAGATGTGGAGCCACAGTCGGTGGTCTGCCCTGTCCCTGATAAAGAGCCACAGTGGGTGGTCGTCCCTGTTCCTGACGTAGAGCCGCAATCGGCGAGCTCCCCTGTTCCTGACCCGGAGCCGCAATCGGCGGGCTCCCCTGTTCCTGACCCGGAGCCGCCATCGGCGGGCTCCCCTGTTCCTGACCCGGAGCCGCAATCGGCAGGCTCCCCTGTTCCTGACCGGGAGCCGCAATCGGCGGGCTCCCCTGTTCCTGACCCGGAGCCGCAATCGGCGGGCTCCCCTGTACCAGTCCTGGAGCCACAATCGGTGGTCTCCTCAGAGCCTGTTCCAGTCCGGGAGCAGCAGTCGGCGGTCTCCTCAAGGCCTGCTCCAGTCCGAGAGCCGCAGTCGGCGGTCTCCTCAGAGCCTGTTCCAGAGCCGCGGTCGGCGGTAGCTACAGAGCCTGTTCCTGAGCCGCAGAAGAGGGGACGGGGTACCCCGTGGGGGTACCTACTGAAGTTTGGGCGTCATCCTCCTGAGAAGCTGCTTCGCCTCCGTCCCAACGTCCGACCTCCAGAACATCTGCTACGCTTCCGGCCCCGGAACAGAGTCACCTGAGACTCTGTTCCGCTACCGGTCCCACGGCCGGCCACCTGAGACTCTGTCCCGCTGCCGGTCCCTCGGCCGGTCACCTGAGACTCTGTCCCGCTGCCGGTCCCACGGCCCGGCCACCTGAGACGTTGCCCAAGAAAAGTGGATCGTTTTTTGTTCTGGACCCTGTTTTTGTTTTTGCCCTTCTGGCCTGTTTCCCCCTTCGCCCGCCCTGGGTGGGTTGTTTTTTGTTTGTTTTTGGACTTTTTCAGAGTGCGTCTGGAATCCGCCCTTGAGGGGGGGGCTCTGTTGGGATCCTCAGGCTTGCCCACCAGAGGGCGCCGAGGATCCTCTTCTGCTCTTTGTTGTTTTTTCTGTTTAGGACTGGAGTTTCTGTTGGGATCTGGAAATTACCATCTGTCTCCAGCAGAGTGCGCCGTGGGTCTCCTAGGGCTGGAGTCTTCCAGCACACCTGAGACGCATCTACTCATTAGGAGACCTTCCCTTTATAAACACCTGCCAGACCTTGCTTCCACGCCGCAGTGTTGATCTTAGTTTGGAAACCTGTCTGTAGCCTGAAGCTCTGGGTGAGCTGCCTCACAGGAAACCTGTCTCTAGCCTGAAGCTCTGGGTGAGCTGCCTCACAGGAAACCTGTCTCTAGCCTGAAGCCCTGGGTGAGCTTAGCCTGCCAATCAGCCCTGGTGAGCCAACCTGAAGATTCCTATGTGGATTTTACCTGAAGATTCCTATGTGGAGTTTACCTGAATATTCCTATGTGGAGTCAACCTGAAGATTCCTAAGTGGATATCCCCTGCTGTTCTCTGTGAAGAGCTGGAAGCTCAGATCAAGGTCGGCCATGTTAAGTCTGAAGCTAGACGCTTTAGCTCCTCATGAACTCTGCTAACCACCAGTCTCTGGTCCCAGTCAAGACTTCAGTGAACCAGCCCAAACCAGTTCCAGATCCAGTTCATAATCTTGTGTTTTTGTGAAACTTCAATAAACTCTGTTAAACTTTTATCCAGCCTCCATTGTGTTCTGCATATGGGCTTGCCTCTTTGACCCATCATGACAAATACTTTATTGTATATTCAATTTGCACAATGGCATTTGAAATTTATTTTCAATTAGTGTTGCTTCCTAAGTGGACAGTTTGATTTCACAAAAGTTTGATTTAATTGAAGTTATGTTGTGTTTTTTACATGTTCCGGTTATGTATTTCGCAGTGTGTACTAGGGTAAACAAGTTACTTAGTTACTTACTTAAAGTGTGTGGAAGACAAAAAGTTGTAAATGTCTCTTGAATATTTTATACAGTAGAAATACAACAAGTAAAAAAAAGACCTATGAAGAACTTACCACATCCAAAATGGCCAAAGGCATTAGTGTAATAACCACCATAAGAGGGCGGTTATTATTTCTGGTTGGCCGACCCATGGTGTACATGACTTTGTCGCTGGTGAGGTTGAGGTGATTTAGAACTTCATAATCAGCACATCCCTGTGCTGAAATATGAAAAACAGTTAGCATCAGAAAGATGAATTCTACTAAGTTTCAAAGACATGTATCTGTTAATCTTTGTTTGCAATTTGTAATTTTTAAACATTCCACCAAACCAGTTCAGCATGAAGAATTGATTAAAAGAAAAACTAAGAACAATGCTTTTACTGTCGGACCTTTTATTTCATTGGATGTAAGAGATGTTGGGATTTTACAGAATAAGGAGCCACAACCAATAAAGCAAGAATTGAAGGAACAAAAAAAAAAAACGAAATGATGCAAATTAAAATATATTGATATTGCAAATGATATACAATGTGGTACAATATTTAGCAACACAGGCCTGCATCAAAATGTTCCTGGAGTCCTTATCTTATTTAGCTTGTTTGTTCTTACTTTCAAAGAATCAAAGCATTCCATAAGGAGAACATGCAAACAGACCCCAGACTGGGATTCAACACACAACCATTTTTCTGTAAGAAATGGTACGACCAATCCTGCAGCCCATTAACATACAATTGGAATATATAAACACTGTTAATATTGCACCATGGGAATTTAAGAAGGCAATTTTTTTTATTAGGGTCTGATTTTCAAATAAGGAGCCAAATTGCTTTTGTTGCAAAAAAGGCCAAGTGAGTACTTGCAGTTTGGGGTGGGGTAAAGGCCATTAAACCAAGTTGTGGATTTGAAGGTAATAATCTTTTAGAATTATAACGACTGAAAAAGACACATTAGGAAATAACCATACTTTACATATAACAGTGTCAGCAGTGTTTTTTTCAGCCTTGCTACTTTAGGCACACTGTCCTGCAATCACATAAATCAGGTGCTTTAAAGAAAAGTAGAATCTAAAAACCTGCAGGACAGTGTGCCTTCAAGAGCAGGGTTGAAAATCCCTGACCTATGTAGTGGCCTAGAAAGGCTAGAGTTAAACTAGTGACTTTATTTAAAGGATTGTATTAAAAGCAGCTGATAAAGCAGCCTGCAATGTACCTAAATCAAAATAATTTTTTGAGCCTCTGAGGCGCAAAGCATTTCCCCACCAAGTGTGTTTTTGATAAAGCACGACTTTTGCATAGTAAGTGGCATATGTGAGTTTCAGGCTCTGTTTTGTGTTTAATAAATGAGACCTTAAACCAATTTCAGCAGATCTATATCCAGATAATAAGGATATGATGACTTTCATGTTGTCTTGTGTCTCCTCATTATAACAGTACACAAGACAAGACTGTCTGCAAAGACGCTCAAAGTTTCTTTAATCTCATAACCATATAATCAGAAGGAAAGGTAACTTTTTGTTTTTACACATTCTCAGGTCTTTGAAAGAGGTGTTCCAAACATCCAAAATTTGAGGCACAGCTGAAGCAGAATTTTTAGTCATAAGCTGGAGCTGCAGTTTGGTGGATCAGTAAAACAAGCTTTTGGGTGACAGTGGTGTTGGATTCACAAGGTTGTCCTGCAGCCGGAGGGTCACTGATTTGAACATTGGTTCTATTTTTTTCAGTTGTTGTGTCCTTGGTCAAGATACATCAACCCAAATTGCCTACTGATGGTGGTGCCTGTGTATGGAAACCTGTTGTCTGTACGCCCTAGGGCAGCAGTGACTATAATGTAATTTGCCACAATTATAGTGTGAATGACTGACTGGATGCAGTGTTTTGGAGTGCCATATAAGTACAGACCACCCTCAAAGTGTTTTGTATGTGAATTGCTGGTAGTCTTTTAAGTGTATTTTTTGTATTAAGTGTAGATGCTAAGGAAACCACTAAGGAAAGCCACTAGAGAAAACCTCACTGTTTGGATCTTTGAGATTATGCTTATAGGTCACTCCAACTATCACCTCTAAACCTGGAGACTTGCTGATGCAGTAAAGGTAATAGTGAATAAAATACCAGCTTAGCTTCACAGCTACCAAAACAATGTAACAGTCTTTGCAACATTTGAGAATCAAACGTTGTTGCATTTAATTTCCAAAGCCTTCTATTTTTCTGTTTATATTTCTTAGGTACTAATTCATCAGCTCTACACCTTCTTACTCCAGATCAGGTACAGGCTTCCTGGTATGCTTAGAGTTTCATCCATTAGCAGTTCTATGCTTTAGTTTCAGAAGCAACTATTTTGCATTTCTTAAACTGAGAGATTTGTTTCTTCTCTTCAAAACTTCTTTGTGTGCCTAGTTTTGCAAATTAGCTCACATAATATTTCCCTCAGCTCAGAGGTAAAAGTTGCAAATAACATATTTTTATTACATAGATATTGTTTGGGAGTAAAGCAGAAAGACTTTGTGCTAATGGAGCTTCTCAATGCATTAACACTGGAACTGGTTTGTTGGAATAGTAAAAATGTAGTAAATATTTCAAACACACTTTCTCAAAATTATTCAAAGCTATACCCATTTGCTCAAATACCAAACAACAAAAGAAATAAAGGATGAACACAAATGAAGAAACTATGTAGCAGAGAAGAAATAAACCTGAAAACAAAGACATTAAACTTTTTGGAAATTTGAACAACCAGTGACAAGAACATACAATCAGAGTGGGTATACAGTACACAACATAAGCATTAATGAAAGAAGGATGCAAAATTATCAGTAAAGTAAAGCCTTTAATTTTTATACCTAAGTGTACTCTGTTCCCACCTGTTGAGACCCCGCCTCAGTTCCCTGCTGCATCTTTTACCTCAAGATATGAACAAGTGTTCACCTTATATACCTGACCTTTTTAACCAGTTTTCATGAGAGGTGCTTTTTTGTGGAGCAACGTGAGTGAGTGAGAACTAGGACAGTTTAAACTGTTTAGGACCAGTTGTCTTATCCCCTAAATCGAAAGACAGATTTTGAGATCCTTTAGCTTGGTGGTTGGTATACTGCTCTTGGTGTTGTTAGGAATCCAGTTGGTGTGGTCAGTTTTTTTGGTTGTTTGTGTGTTTTTCTCCCTCCACCACCAGGTGGTACCCTGTCCTCGTTTGCCCTCCTGCACACCTGCGGCTCGTTGGATCATTATCTGGAGGATTATTTTAGCAGTGGGCTGTGAACAGATCACTGTGATCTCCTCTCCAGACTTTCCAGTTCCGGTTCACCAGTTCTCCGAGTTCCAGATTCAACTTCTGTACAGTCTCCTAAATAAACCTGTGAAACTTTTCCCTCGGTTCTCTGAGTGGTTCTCTGCATGTGGGTCAGATCTCTTAAATTGATCATGACAGGTGTGTTCAAATAAGGGCTGCATCATCCGGAGGACTCGGCCTACCTGGACTGGGTCTTTTGAAGGTCGTGAAAAGGAGCACCATTTATATGAACTATTTTCATAAATTTAAGATGAAACTATTCACATACTTGTATTATATTAAACAGCACTTACAATATTCACCACTGTTCGGCACCATTTCCCTTTTTCGTCATGGCAAAATGGGGAATCATGGGATACCTAAGGCTACAAAGGATACACCGGACCTGTCGTTGCAACCAGGGGGAAAGAAGGCTGCATTTGTCGGCTGAATATGAAGAAGTCCTTGAATGAGAACACACCACGGTGCCTCGATATAATGGAATCAACTGACGAATCTGGCCTTCGGAGGACACAGCCTCTGGATATGAATCTACTGCTTGCTCTCTTCCCCTGCTCTACTCTGTCCTATCTCCCTGTTCTTCTCCTTCTTGTATAGTAAAATTAAGGAAATAGCAAAGCATATAGATGATCAGTAAAATGTAACACACACGTCTTATTTAGACAGTGTTCCAATATGTTAAGTGTATGGGTGTTTCTGGAAAGCATTCATCAAATATCTTCCATGATATATGTAAAGTTGCCTTTTGAATAGAATGTTTTCATTTGTCAGCTTAACAACTACTGTTCGGCATGCAACTATACTGTTTGTTTTTTTACCTGTCTTGTCTTGAACGTCCTCTTTGCACTGACCTTTCTTCCCTCCTTCCCCTTGTACATCTCTCCCTCTGTGGACTGGCAATCATAAAAAAGATTGTATTTAACAAAATTAACGTATACAGTTTAGCTCGAAAGTTTAGACACACTCCGGTTAAAGAAAAGGGTAGAATCATAACAGTGAATCAAATGGCAAGAAACTGAAAAAAAAAGAAAAAGAAAAATATGATTTAATAAATGTAAGTATTGATGTGTTTTTTTTAATAATAAAAGAAAAGCAAAAACATAAAACAGTCCCAAACACATAAGAGCACCTTGCTCATTGACATTTCACCAACGTGCCATCAACAGGTGCAGAAATCAGATGGATTTTAGAAAACACCTGATTGCAGAGATTCCCTCAAGGAGTTGCTCAGCATTTTAGGGTAAGAGCCCCATCATGTTTGTTTACATTTTTTGTTTGTTTATTTGTCAATATTTCTCCTGAACCACAATTCAAAACTAATAGCTTGATTTTCATACAATTTTAATTTATAATTACTTTTGTCAATGTTAATGTATCTCTTTTTCCATATACAGTATATATAATTATCATTATGAGGATATATATGCAGTATCAGATGTATATATAAAATGAAGAACAATAATATATTAAGTAATCTCTCTGCTGCTCAAGGCACATAACCAAACATTGTGTTTCAGATTTATTAAGAGATATTAACATATATAGGCGACTATTACCTCAATGTGGCTCTTTTATTACAAAAAACTAATATCCATGATTAGGCTTTTTGTACACAGAAGCGCACACAGCAAGACTTATGATCTTATCCAGGTAGTGTTAGGAATCCAGTTTGTGTGCGTTGTTTTTGTGTTTTTTCTCTCTCCAACACCAGATGGTACCCTGTTCCTCGTTGGGCCTCCCTGCACACCTGCGGCTCGTTGGATCATTACCGGAGGAGTATTTGAGCAGCGGGCTGTCACTATCTCGACGCCAGAGTGTTTGCTAGTTTGGGGTACTCTAGCCAAGCTGAGATTAGCAGAGTCTAACCAAAGCTTTGTTTCTCTGAGTCTAAACTTGTTTTTGTCTTTTCTCTTTGGCAGGAAGCCTTTCCTGTGTAACTGGATAACCTGGACCTTCTCCTCCTGGAAGGGTTACTGAGTACACACTGAGCAGGGGTAAACCTCCACATGATCCGTTCAAGTCCTCATCGGAAAACCAAGTGACAGTACGCTCCTTTACTCCTCTGGGGCCAATGTATGTCTACCTGTCCGCTCTCCAACGAGTTCCTTCTCCTCTGGATTAATTCCCAACAAACTGGATTCAAGGATTAACAAGAGCCCCCTCAAACGTGAGTTTCTCTCCAGCTATATTCAAGCCTCAGTCAATTTTCCTAAGGTCCCTAAACTGATCACTGTGACCTCTCCTTCAGATTTTCCAGTTCTGGTTCACCAGTCCACTGAGTTCCAGCTCCTGCTTCTGTGTTTCGTCAACATTCAATAAACCTTTTAAACTTTTTCCCTTGGTCTCTGAGTGATTCTCTGCATGTGGGTCAGATCGCTTAAACCAATTATGACAGGTAGCTTGTCATTATTAGCACCTTGGCCTTTATAAACACATACAGTATGACAGCAGCTAGTTTCTCTCATTGCAGTTTAAAGAAGATAGTTTTACCAAACACCTTTCACATCAGCTAACGCCTACCAACCTATAAAGAGTAACCTAAATTTAAGCACAGAAAACACAAAGACTGGTAATAATAGGAATATTTTCGTATTAAGTATAAGTTAATGTGTTGTAATTTTTTACAGCATTTTCTATGGTAAATTTGCAACCACAGCTTGTTATTTTATCCAAATATTTCATCCATTCTGTCGACTGCATTTATCTCTTCTGAAACATCTTGGGTTTGATCAAGTTAAATGGACTTCGGGAAAATGGACAGTTTCTTTCCCTACTCAAATACACAGTCAGCATCTCTCATCTCTAACCTCTATTTCTCACTCCTGAAAACTTACTCTTGCTCTAACCTGTTCTGAAAATATCTTAGAGAAACACTCCTCATGCAACGTTTCCAGTGTGATTATTCGGCCAGTTGTTTTGTCAGCGTCCAAACAAGGAGTATCTTCAGCCTACACTTCAATATCTAGGCATGGTAACATCCTTGGATGAAACTTTCTACACTTGCCATAATACAATAAAAACTGCTCACACTCTCTTCAAGCAAATTAGTGGTGGTGGTGTTGCTCCCTTCATTTATAGCCTTCTATATTGCCCGGGGCAACAATCCTATCATCATGCCTGACTTTTTTTTTTTTCCGTATTCATGTTATATTGCCCCATTACGTTCCTAAGCATGCCCATGTGAAGTCCTTGCAGGCAATCATATGTGTGCTCACATCTTTATCAACAACTTTTACAGACACTCACCAGCACCATACCTTACGTAGGCAGCCTTTAGCAGACAATCTTTGAATTTTTTTATTCACACCTCTATTTAGCATACAAAAAAAAACTCTTGAGACTCAGTCTTATCTACAAAAGATACCTGTTAAATACAATCTAAGCCATTGCAGGCATTACTGTTCATAATGCTTGACTGATGCCTTCGCAGGCTGCCATGGATAAATTCACATCTCTACCCATGCCTTCCATGGGCAGCATAAGCAGGCAATCTATCTCAGCTTTTTACAGTCAATTTCTTTTTGTCTTTGTCTAATTTTCTGCACACTGTGAAACAAAACATCCAGTTGATAAAATCTTAAAACATCAAAACTCAACATTCATCTTCGGCAGGAGATGTGCCTAGAAAATAATATTAGTGGGGTTGCTGGGATATTTATTGATGTTATTAAACAAAGTGCATTTTGTAAAATCGGATACTGAGATATCACTATTTTACACATATTTAAGTTCCTGCTGTTTTAGTTTCCTAAAATAGTTTTATATTTTTTACTCCTTCATGATAAATACTTTGAGACTTAGTAATTAATGCCATATGTAAATTAAATAGAATTTTAGGATTCAAATAGATTTTATTCTAGCAATTTCTCTGTTGCAACAATTTCCTTGAACTTATTTAAATTAACTTCATTCCACTAGCCTCCCAATGCCTCACCTTAATTAATATACAAAAACATTCTTAAAATACTCGTTACACTTTAAGAATATGTAATATGAAATCCTAAAATGTCAATGCCAATATCAAAATGAATTTCTAAAATGCACTAAATGTACATGCACTGTACAAAGATGTGTTAACTTACATAGTAGGAGGACCAGAAAGAACAGACTTCTGAGCATCATAGCTGTTTTGGCTTCAGCATGTGTCCTGACCTATCTTCTGAGCTAGCTGAGGATTCATCTGGCTGAGCAAATCCTTTTAAACAACAACAACAAAAAATGTTGCTGTAATGAATGAACACAGGCTAATGGAAAAGGCCAACACCCTAAGCACTCAACTGCATGTGCTTTGAACATATTTCTGTTGTTGTTTTTTATACTGTCAACATAAAAGGCCTCTAATCCATTAAGGGAGATAACAGAACTTGTTAAAACATTTAAACAGAAACTTATCCAGAAGCCTGCATTAAAGCCTTAGCTTTTACATTTGTGTTTATTGAATAATGCATAAAGTAACTGATACAGTATTTCTGAGAAAAACGTCGCTTTTTGTGCTGAATTAAATGTTGCTTTCATGCAGAGCTACTTATTGTGATTATCACCAATGAAGCAGTTATAAAACTGCTTATAACGGCTCTTTTCTTTGCTGTTTTTCTCATGCTATTTTTGAATATTAGAATAAATATTTTGCAAGGCAAATTCAGATTATTTTCCCCCCAAGATGTTTATAATCTTAAAGATGAGATGAGTAACGTTGTATGACAGATTTGATGTGTATGATATCCTCATTTTACATTGTATTGCATAATAAAAAAAATAGCTGATGTTGTCATGATCTGGCCTGTTTGCTCCTCCCTAATTAGTAATTCCTCTCACCTGCCCTTTTCCCTCCCTGTCTCAATTACGATTTATTCCCCTCACCTGTTTCCTCAGGTTTAATATTCAGTTCAGCCTGGGGATTCAGTGCCAGACCATTACTTGTCTTTCTGTCAGTTTGTCGTTTTAGTTTTAGTTCATAGTTCATGTCCTGGATCCCAGCAGCCAGTGGAAAGAGGGTTTTTGTGTTTGTCTCGTCTCCTGATTGTCCACTGTTCCTGCCCCACGGAGTCCTCTGGGTTTTTGGCTCAATAAGTGGGGAGGTTCAGTTTTTATCCAGTAAGCCTGGCTCCAGGGAGGAGACCAGTTTAAAGTCCTGCTTCAAGTTCCGGTTCCAAGTCCTGTCACGGCTACCCTCTTCCACTGTGCCTGCCTGTCTGCACCTGATCCTGTCTGCTCCTGTGCGTGACCACCTGGCCATGCTTCTGGTCCCAGTCAGACTCTGAACCCTCCTGGGAGCCTGTGGATGCCTGGAAGTCTGGATCCTGCCTCCTGTTTCTGTTCCTGCCTGATCTGGATCCTGCCTGTTCTGTCTGTTCCTGTCTGTTCTGGATCCCTGACCAGGATTGGCTTCCAGCATGACCTCTGGGACTGCAGCACTGGGGACATTCTTGGTCTGGACTGTTAAACCAGGTAAGTGACCAACTCAGATAATCTTCTGTCAGATGATTACCACTTACCTGTGTTTCTCTCACTACAGAGTGTCTGAGATTGGGCGGTGCCCCCCCCCCCCCCCCCCCCGCCTGCAGTGTCCGCGAGCCACAGCTCCGCTTTTGTTTGTTTATTTAATAAACGTTTTGAACTTTCCTACTGACTGTCTCTCCTTGAATACTGGGTCCATCTGTCCCCGGTTCTTGACAGATGTGCTCAAAATATGACAATTTATGCCTCCTGTTTGTGTTTTTTATGTTTTTTTATGTCAATGTTTTGCACTGGAAAAAATGAAATCTAGATACCACAAGACATTTTTTCTTAAAATAAGTGCCTTTGTTTTTGGATTGAGGAGGAAAAAGAGACATTTTGCCAATGGAACAAGGCAATTTCCATTTAAAATAAGAGCCCAATTACATTGTCTTATTTCAAGTGCATGTTATGTAATTATCCTATTTTAAGGGTAAACATACTCCTTCCATTGGCAAATTAAGGGTAAATACATTTAATTTAAATTTTAACTTATTTCTACATCTTTTTTCCAGTGGAGCTAAAAAGGCATGCTATCCACCGGATAATAAATAAGATATATTTATGGTTCCAAACTACAGTTTGATTCTAGAAAGAAAATATTTATGTATAGGTGTTTCTGCCTCCTTTGCTGTAGATCACAGAATCTACACATCCACATCTTGTTTGGCCTATGTCACAGGTGCACAAGCAATCTAATTTGGCCAGATTCTCCAAATTCATGCAATCCCCCTCAATTCCCTCTCATTTACGTTAAGCCAGTGTATATCTGATGTCCCAGAATCTTCTAAAACGCCTGCATGCTCTGAACTTTCTATGTAATTTTTTTCAATTATGGATGTATACAACTCCGGCTTCCTCCCACAGTCCAAAAACATGACTGTTAGGTTGATTGGCTTCTCTAAATTGTCCTTAGGTGTGAGTGTGTGTGTGAATGGTTGTTTGTCCTGTGTGTCTCTGTGTTGCCCTGCGATGGACTGGCAACCTGTCCAGGGTGTACCCCGCCTCTCGCCCATTGACTGCTGGAGATAGGCACCAGCACCCCTCGCGAACCCAATTGGGACAAGCGTGTAAGATGATGGATGGATGGATGTATACATAGAGTATTAATGAGTCTAGACAGTATGTCTAATGACAGCCTAGCTTATGTGTAACGCACAGCAGCGTAATGGCCATGAAATGTCACAAGCCAGTGTCCTGAGGGGGCAGCAATGCCCCCCAACCTGCATAAAAACATTTATTGATAGTGGTATTAACCCAGCTTTCTACTGCCCACCAAAAAAATAAATTTAATAAATACATAAAAAGAAAAAAGAAAGACAGAAGGTTTGCTGTTGCAGCAGATTCAGCTTCATGTCTGCTAGGAAGTTTGTTGGCCGTGGGCGTGAATGCAGGGATGATCCATCACACACATCTTCTTGCTCACCCTATGATGGTGATGAAGTCTGGAGGAGAACTGACGGTGTCCTCCTGTGAGCATGCTCAAAATTTCTCGATGTACTTGCCATTTGTCCACGTGTGCCTGCATGTTTCAGGATACTTCAGTGTTCTCATAACTCATACAAAAACTGACCCATAACTTATTCAACGTATGCCAGCATTTTTGCCAGATTTTTTGTACGTCAGGCAAACAGTGGTCTAAGGTGTGACAGGGGGTTTTAGAAAGCAAGAGCATTAGCCATATCAGGGGTGCCTTATAGAAGAAGAATTTAGGAAGACTCAAAGGGCCCTTTACTCACACTCAAATTACGTGATTTCAGCACCCACAAACCTCTGTGCAGCAATTTAATCTGTTTTGTCATTGGGACTGAAATTTCTGACAGCATGCCTGGCTGGCAGACAGCATTGATTCTGTCTGAAGCAACTTTCAACATTCTGAACCACAGTGAGCTCTTTCATGACTTGGAGATATCAAGATGGTTTTCTTCAACCATATGTTATTGAATTATTCTTATTTCATTTTCAATTTGATTGATAATAACAAATGAATATATTACAAAAAACATTCATCAAATCAAGATGAGTTCACACACAAAAAAAATTCTACTTGTAGCTTACACTTTTCTCTTTACATTGGCATATTTGTATACGTTTTCAGAACATCAATCTTCTGGGAGATTATGGATTATGGTTCTGTCATGGTTTTGGTTCTGTTTAAGTTTTCTTTATGAGTTTTCATTGGTTTCATTTTGATTTTGTGTTTTTTAGTTGTTTTCAGTTGTATTTGAGTTCTTATGTATTTCTTATTTACTCTCTTTTGCCCTCTAGTGTAAGTCACCTTCCCCTTGTTCCCTTCTAGGTGCTTCTATCCACACCTGTTCCTCGCCTGCTGGTTAGTTCAGTCTTTGTTCAGGCTCCCATTTAAATTGCTCCACTTAAGCTACTCTTTGCAGGTTTCTCGTCCTTTCTTTGCTCCTCGAGTGTTTTCTGTGATGTCTTCTGGTTTTTGTGTTTTATTATTTTTGGATTTTAGCTTCAGTTTCCTCCTTTTGGTTATTAAATATACAAGAAACCACTTCAGCTCCCGTCTCTGCATTTTGGTCCTCTTAAACCCCCAAACAACCTATCTATACTGAGGAAAACAAACCAACAAGACAATGAATGTGCACAGCATCTATGTGTCCATACTAATCACTGAAGATAGACCAGATTTTCATTATTTAAAATGTTTTTATCAGTGTTGTACAAATTAATTTATGGTTCTACATAATATATACATTATTTCGGTTGATGAGTTATTCTTTATCCTTAGTTACATAGAAAACTCATGACTGCAGAGACACACCCTAAAAAACCTAAATTGTAAATGAGTATTAATTCTGTATTTATTTTTATTTGTATTACATAATTTTTACTGTATTTTTAGTTTTTAGTTAGCACTAACTTTAAGATATGATGATGTTATCACCCTTGCCACCTTCTGGTTTAGAGAACAACTGCTTGTTCTAGAGGTGATAAATTACATTCACATAGAAAAACAAACCACCTTGTAGGGGGGCCCAGAAGGACGGCCACTGACTGGCTAGGAGTGGCAAGGGGGGCCATGGCCACCTATCTAGCTCTGCCTCTGCTCTCGTTCACAACTAAAGCATAGTGACTACACGTAGCACTATAAGTAGACCCACTCACTGATTAAAAGCTTGTAGACACCTGTGATGCTAATTAGTAGACACACCTTGATTTAAGACGTCCCTTCAGTCACATTATTTTCACCCTTTTCTAGGGCTACCATAATTTAGTCCAGGCAAATTTCATGTGTTTGTGTTTTAAAATCATTCTGCTGAAGCATGGTTGAAAAGCTCACTTCTATTCCTTCATTTTTTTATATGAATTTTCTTTATTATTGCTTTTTTCAATATTCAAGTTATTTCTGTGCCATAGTGTGTTTTTCTTTCATCATATTATACATATATAAAACCAAAACAACGCATACTATGCATATTTTATTAGTTTTAGGTTGTGAGCAGTTCCACATAAGTAAAATATGTAAACTACAGCAGCTACTACAAGAAAATGATTATGATGCTGTACAATATGTAAATAATCTTGTATGTAAACAAAACTTTATTTTCTGATAGATGCATGTTCTCATTCATATAACTAATGCATACATATTTGGGTATCTGTATGTATAGCAGATGCATATGTTACAGTATATGAAAGATCTTAACATCATGTACAATCACTAATAATTTCCTGCAACAAGTATGGCTTAATAAAAAAAAAAAACAACCAGTACCAAAGACTTAGAATATAAGATTAAAACTAGTTATTTACCCATATTTTATTGTATACCACTTGTCTTTGCTTTCATTAAACTATATGACTTAAAAGAAAAGTGTTATCTGCATAGTTGGCATTTGTCAACAAATTGAAAACTCAAACTTAAAATAACTTTTTTTTTTTTTGATTTTATGCGGTATACAGGAACACAGCCCCAATAACAATGGAAAGGTAGTTTAAACAAAAAACAGGAAAACATTTTAAAAGTAGAGTCATTTGCCCACTATTGTAGCTGCAAACGCTTTTAGGTTGTGTATAAAACTAGTAAAACAACCCAAGCTCGATCTGAATGGATAGATAATTTTAAGTCTTGTTCAAAATGCCTATATGTGCTTATGGTGTAGGATGCAAATTAAGCACAATCATGTATTTTTTTTCAGCAGTACCCCAGCTGTTGCTTGGGTATTAAATTGAAATGCACTAAATAAACTTGCATTCATGTTTTTGTTTACAGAGAAAAAATACTCTTTGTGGTGGTTTTATGCAAAAATGAAAAGATGCTCACGATACAAAATCCTTAGACATTTTTTTTATATTAACCTGATAATTTCTGATCTCTTGGCTGCATACTAAAATTCTGTTTAGACCTGGGAGGTTCCTGCCAATGTCATATGGAATTGCTGAGAAGCCCTAAGTACATTTTTGGTCCTTAAACATTCACACTGTCAAACCCACCCCTAAATTTCCTTCCCTTTCTAATACATTCTAATATGTAATACATGCTGTATGATACATTCAAAACTCAGATACATCATTGGATGAAATACTTCTAACATGTAAGATTATTGTTTATGGGTTTTTTGTGCTTATTTCTTAAGGACTAAGATATATTTTTTTTCCTGATAACTGTATAGTCACAAAATATTAACTTCTTCATCTGGTAACATTCTGGGGGGCTGCTTGATAGCGCCATTTGTAGCACTGTTGCCTTGCAGGGAGAAGGTCCTTGGTTCAATTTCCAGCACCGTGCATGCGGGGGTTCTCTCTGGTTACTCCAGCTTCTTCCCATTGTTCAAAATCATGACTCTTAGGCTAAATGGCATCCTTAATTGCCCTTAGGTATGTGTGTGTGTGCCTGGTTAATTGTTTCTGTGTTGCACTGCGATGGACTGGCGACTTTTCCAGGGTCACCAGGATTGTGATGGACCATATACACTATATTGCCAAAAGTATTTGCTCACCCATCCAAATTATTGGAATCAGGTGTTCCAATCACTTCCATGGCCACAGGTGTATAAATTCAAGCACCTAGGCATGCAGACTGTTTTTACAAACATTTGTGAAAGAATGGGTCGCTCTCAGGAGCTCAGTGAATTCCAGCGTGGAACTGTGATAGGATGCCACCTGTGCAACAAATCCAGTCGTGAAATTTCCTCGCTCCTAAATATTCCACAGTCAACTGTCAGCTGTATTATAAGAAAATGGAAGTGTTTGGGAACGACAGCAACTCAGCCACGAAGTGGTAGGCCACGTAAACTGACGGAGCGGGGTCAGCGGATGCTGACGCGCATAGTGCGAAGAGGTCGCCAACTTTCTGCAGAGTCAATCACTACAGACCTCCAAACTTCATGTGGCCTTCAGATTAGCTCAAGAACAGTGCGCAGAGAGCTTCATGGAATGGGTTTCCATGGTCGAGCAGCTGCATCCAAGCCATACATCACCAAGTGCAATGCAAAGCGTCGGATGCGGTGGTGTAAAGCACGCCGCCACTGGACTCTAGAGCAGTGGAGACGCGTTCTCTGGAGTGACGAATCGCGCTTCTCCATCTGGCAATCTGATGGACGGGTCTGGGTTTGGCGGTTGCCAGGAGAACGGTACTTGTCTGACTGCATTGTGCCAAGTGTAAAGTTTGTTGGAGGGGGGATTATGGTGTGGGGTTGTTTTTCAGGAGCTGGGCTTGGCCCCTTAGTTCCAGTGAAAGGAACTCTGAATGCTTCAGCATACCAAGACATTTTGGACAATTCCATGCTCCCAACTTTGTGGGAACAGTTTGGAGCTGGCCCCTTCCTCTTCCAACATGACTGTGCACCAGTGCACAAAGCAAGGTCCATAAAGACATGGATGACAGAGTCTGGTGTGGATGAACTTGACTGGCCTGCACAGAGTCCTGACCTCAACCCGATAGAACACCTTTGGGATGAATTAGAGCGGAGACTGAGAGCCAGGCCTTCTCGTCCAACATCAGTGTGCGACCTCACAAATGCGCTTCTGGAAGAATGGTCAAAAATTCCCATAAACACACTCCTAAACCTTGTGGACAGCCTTCCCAGAAGAGTTGAAGCTGTTCTAGCTGCAAAGGGTGGACCGATGTCATATTGAACCCTATGGATTAGGAACGGGATGTCACTTAAGCTCATATGTGAGTCAAGGCAGGTGAGCAAATACTTTTGGCAATATAGTGTATAAGGATGGACCATATATAAGGCTTAATCAGGTTTAGTCAAAGTGAACCACAAGCTGCACGTGGATACAATATTTCTTCCTCGGTTTCTTTAAAACAAGCAGAAAATATTTAGTGTCTCTTTAATTGTGACTGCCACTCTGAGAAGATGATAATTAAAAACAGAAGGACTCCTAAGATATATACAGTAGAAAAGATCTTGTCTATTTTTTTGGCAACTCTGGTCCAGTAACCACCCTTCTGTTTTGTTTTTTTGCCATGTAAAGTTGTTTTTTTATCTCTCTAAGCTCAATTGAGATTTTTTCCAGGAGCCCAGTCAGTTGGCTGCTTCCACCCTGCAAGAGTTAGGAGTCATATGTTACAAACCAGCTGATGGGAAATGACAGGGTTCTTCTCAATTGTTTGAAAGTATTTTCTGGATTTCCTCTTATGCAATTCGAAAACATTTGAATTAAAATCCAATTTATGATAGAAACATTTCAGTATACCCTTTTGATCAGGTACAGTGGCCTCATGAACAAACTCTACATATACAAAAAACGTACCACCCAATCAATGTTGTGTTAATGTGTTCAGAAATGGACAATGTTCGACAGCCAAACAAATGTTTTACAATTTTTCATGTCAAACTACTTTTGGACTCACTTCACTGCACTGAGATGAGTCAGTTCAGCTGTGTTTATATCAAGGAACATTAAACACGGCATCAAGAGCTTAATGAGTTTGAGATTTGGTGTTTTAATTAAACCAAAGTGATGAAACTGAACAACCTCATATAATAACATGGCACCATAATAGCATAAATTCTTTGTATCTTCTGCTTAGGTGATGGAGTAAGTGGATAATGTTACCACCAGTACTAGCATGAGTGATTCTGCCAGCTGATAACTAATAGGTTGTTATGCTACCTGGCCACCTAAGGACCAGTAACGTGGGGAAATTCATAACCAGTGAGACACTAAGGCTACGTTAACACTGTAGCCTGAAGTGACCCAATTCCTTTTTTTTTTGGCCCATATGCGACCTGTATCTGATATTTTCATGGCAGCCTGTACAAAACCGATCTGATTTTTTCCGATGCGACCCAGACCACTTGGCTATGTGGTCCTGAATCCGATACAAATCTGATCTTTTCAAATGCGACCTGTGTCTGAACGGCCAGGTCGCATTCTTCCGACCTGAATGTCATTGATGCCGGACAAAGGTTACTATTCTGGGTCTTGCTATGAAGAAGCAGCAAGAAAAACAGCAACCATGGCAGATGATGATGCGAAGAGCAGTATTTATGTTTAACCATCTTGAAAAGATTGTGTTTTTATGGTTGGGAAAGATCGCTAAATGCACGCTGGCACTACCATCCATGTGTACTTCCATAAACAAAAAGCATGCTGGACTGTGATGTCATTGCGTCCTCTACTGTCCATGCGGGACACTTGTGTTGTATGACTACAGTTCACACAGTAGATCACATACAAGTCGCATATATTTGGAAATGTGAACAGCAACACAAAAAAAAAAGTCGGATTTCACAAAAGAATCAGAATTGTGAAACAAGGCCTGCAGTGTGAACGTAGCCTTAGGGATTATTACCTGAAATAAAAGGTGATATTTTAGACTTACACAAAATAAAACATTTAGTTTGCTAACTTTTAACTATAATATAATTTATTCAATAGCAGTCCGCAAAGCAATAAAAAAAATTCAAATCTAAAGATGTTTTATAAAATATCAAATTTGATTATTAGTTGTTTTTTATTTACAGTTAAAGGTATAGTGGAGGATTTTCATGAATTTTTGAAAAGACGTGTACATTTCTAAAATAAATGCACAACCCTGTACCTGGTCCCGACAGAGTATGCCTATTAAATGTGTGCAAGAACATGCACATGCCCATTTCTCCTCGTGCACGCTCTGTTTAAAAGTTGCTGTTTGCATCACTCATACAAGCTTACTTTCCAAAAGAAGATTTGTAATTTTTCCATTATATCAGACTTACCACCGGTAAATGAAAATGGGGACGAGCACGTAGGCTGGCCTTATGTAAACACATGACCAGAATGATTGACAATTAGGAGGACCACTCATTTTGATAGTCCACCCGGAAAAATAACATCCTCCACTATACCTTTTAATTGTGTTTCTTTTGTGCTCAATTATGTGCTCATCTACCTCCCCCCTTCTTTTTTCCTACAGAAGAGTTGCATGTGCTGACCTCATCCTGTTAAACATTTGTGATAAATGGTGGATCGATCTCATCAATTGATATCTTTGTTTAAGTGGGTCCACTGGACCCACTTAAACAAATTGATGTGAGAGCAGCACTGTAGTAACTGTAATCCTTATAACAGGCCATGAAATCTTTGATTGCTGAAAGCATTTTTTTCTTCCTAATTCTTCCATTTTGAAAGCGTCATCACAGCACAGCAATCTATGGGAAGTCATCACACCTTGTTGAATAAAAAATTATGTAACTCACTGTTAATTGTAAGGGATAGAAATATGATAGTTAGAAACATTTATATAATAAAGGTCAAATTTAAGCAGTGTTATAAACCTTTTTTGTAATTATATGTCATGTCAGGTCAGGGGTTCCACCTGCATATATCACACTGATTTCAGATTTGTTATAGTAGATTTACTGGTTATTGTAACAATATTGCTTCTTCTGCCTCTATCAAAAAAACATAAAAACTGACTTATTGGAAATAATCAGTTGATATCCCATTATTATTATTTTCCAGTTAGAATTAAAGTGCCTGTTTGAGAATATAGATAAGACTTAATGCTCCTTGGTGTACAGAGCAATGAGCATTTACATGTCCAAAACAGAGGAATATCTATAGTTTAAACCTAGGGTTGTTTCCATCAATTGTTGGATGTGGTACAGTATTGATTGAAGCTTCATATAATTCAAATTTAAATAAAAAAGTGGTTTCTTCGCTCCTTGAGTTGAAATAATCCAAGAGTCATATTTCGGTGTACTTGCGTAAGTCTTGGCACTTCTAAGTGTGTTACTGTCTTTAAAAATGCTTGCATGGCTGCCACAAATTCAGCAGGTCAAAATTTTTTATTGGATTGTTCCAAACTATCATACATTGTTCATTTTTATCCATCCAGAGTTTTGCATTAAACTTGGGCTACAGCTTTTTGTGTGTAAGCAGGCTTTATACATGAGACACTGAAGAGGAAAGGTCACAAGCCAAGAGCTGGTTCCCTCAGAGTAGCTTATTCTAAACTACTTATACCTTTATTTTTCAAAAATGCTTTTTCTCATTTTTGTTAGAGCAGTTACATCATACTGTTATCAAAATCCTCAAAGGCTTTTTAACCAAAAACCCTAAAAAGATTGCACTCACCCTTTGGTACATAGATGTTGTTTGATCCATCATCTCAATGGAAGAGGCCTTTACTATTTTTAAAAGAAAGTGTGAGACTTGAGTGAATGACACAGTTTTATGGATCAACATTAGATATACATGCAATTGGTAAGAAAAATTATTTCCAAACAAGCTATGATAAACTAAAATAAGATTAGACAGCATGAGATGTGCTTGAGTTTTTTTTTTAATTATAATTTGTTCTTACTCAGTTTGTTGTCACTCTCTATCTGGCCATCATCGTGTGAGTCTTTCTCCATCAGATAATTCACCCAAATTGTCTCCAAGAGGCTTAGCAGCATCATTGAAAATATCCCGATGCAGTAAATCACTAAAAAGAGTAGTTCACACATTGTTAATAAATATGGTCTATAGTAAAATTACTCATTTCTACACGGTGCTACAATTGATAGCAATTGTGCTGCACCTTGTAGTCGTGTCTCTTGTTTAAACACGTGAGTCAGTTAATGATTGCATTAGCAGACTGTGAAGAAGTTGACTGCATCCTGAGGCTGTTACGCAGTCATTTGATTCAGATGTTGAAGGAGAGACACATCTAAAGACAGCTTCACACATACTTCATGTATCCGCAAAGTCATCCAGCACAAAAAGCTTCTGTGCACCAGTCCTCAACTGATGAATGCAGGACCCATCCACAGATCACTTCCTAATTTTAAAATGTACTAGATCTGCTTTACTTACCCCATGTCTATATTTCTGTATGACTCATCTAGTTTTCATAGACTGATAGATTTTGCTTCTCATCCATCACATTTTGCTTGTGACAGAAATGATGCATGGATGAAGAAATGCGTGGATAAGGTTAAAAGCTGCCAGAAATCTGACCTTGAGGACTGTAAATGAAGAAGTTTATTATGTGACATATGGCTGTGGTACAGTAGGTGGTTCTTCATCTCAAGCTCTGGTCCTCTGCCAGACACCTGGGTCTTCAAAATATCTCATCTGTTAACAGGACTTCTGGACTGAAATTGCTGATGTTTTTCAAAGCTAGTTTTTTCTAGTTGAGCACTTGGTATATTTCAACATTCTCATGTTCTTGTTCTTGATGTTTCCATCAATCAGTATTGCCACAGTGCTGCATGGTACCGCAGTGTGTTACACTGTTGCATGGCAGCAAGAAGGTTCTGGTTTCGAATCTTGGCACGGGGGCTTTCTAAATGGACTTTGCATGTCCTCCCCATATATTCCTTCGTTCTCTACAGGTACTCTGGACTGTACTCCACCTACAGTCCAAAGGTATGACGGTTAGGTTACCGTATTTTCACGACTATAAGGCGCACTTAAACGCCTTTTTTCCCCCCTCAAAATCTGCGGTGCGCCCTTTGGTGCGGTGCGCCCTATGTGTGTTGTAACTGCGACTTTTGAGACCACCTCATTGAGGAGATGATGAAAGAGTGGCTGAATGTAAGGAGACCAGGTGTTTTTTTTCCCACTCATCACCATCGATGTTAATCTGTGACTCCATGCGTGCCCATCTCACAGCTGATGTGAAAAACATGGTGAAACAAATTAAGCTGTGCTCGCTGTTATTCAACCGCTCGACATCGGTGTGAACCGGACCCAGCAGGTGCAGCAGAAGCAGCATGTTTACATGCAAAGTCAATGGTTGACGCCGTATAGGCGCAGCAAAAGGTCCCGCAGCGCGTTTTGAGCAGCTGAAGCAGCGCGTCGGGAGCGTTAGCATCTGCCAACGCGCTGCTGCTGCTCGAGGTGGAAAAATTGAAGTTTTGCTGCTGGACGCGCCGCATCAACCAATCGGAGAAGCTGATCTGGGAGCTGACAGCGAGACAGACACAGCGCTCTGATGACATATGATATTAACGCAAATGGAAAAGGCTGGATGGATGAGGAGATGATGAAAGCGTGGCTGAGGCAGGTGTATGTGAGGAGACCAGGTGGTTTTTTCCACGCATCACCATCGCTGTTAATCTGTGACTGCGTGCCAATCTCACAGCCGATGTGAAAAAAAAGGTGAATCAAATGAACGCTGTGCTCGCCGTTATCCCGGGGGGTCTGACAAAGGAACTTCAACCGCTCGACATCGGTGTGAACCGGCCGTTCAAAGTAAGGCTGCGAGCGGCGTGGGAGCGATGGATGACAGACGGAGACCACAGTTTCACGATAAGTGGAAGGCAGCGCCGGGCAAGTTACGCCACCGTTAGCGGATGGATTGTAGATGCTTGGACTAACGTGTCTGCTGGCTCTGTTGTTCAAGCTTTTGCAAAAGCCGACATTATTTCTGAGGAGCCGCCCGGCACGGAAAGTGACTCTGACAGCGAAGAAGGGGAAATTGGCATTTCTGATTTAGTGCAGCTGTTTAATTCAGAAACAGAGGATGATGACTTTGATGGGTTTGATTAATACTTTGTAATAAATACATGAATAAAGCACAATCATACTCAGTTTTGCTCCCGCTCTATTTTTCTACCTGAAAACTTAATTCAACAGCAGCCTCTGGGCCGGGTCTCCTCCGGTTTCACCGCGGCGGCTGGCAGGTGTTTTTTCATCTAAATAATCTAAATCTTGCAGCTATATTTGATGTGATCAGTGGGAATAAAGTAGTTTTAATATGTTTTTAAGTGAGAAAGTCCACCTGAAAACGTAATAATTGCAGTCAGTTCATCCAGATTATCTATTTCTGTCGGAGGCGCTCAGACCCCCACATACCAGCGGTACACCGACAGTAGAAATCCCTTCAACAGCAGCCTCACAACGGCGGCTGGCAGGTGTTTTTCATCTAAATAATTTAAACTGCAGGCACCAGGATACCGGCAATAAAAGCGAACATATTCCGTCAGCAGGTTTCAGGATTTTAAGTTAATTTAGGAGTGATCACAGCGCTCTGTCATCTGCGATGTGTCTGTCTCACGGCCAGCTCCCAGGTTTGATTAATACTTTGTAATAAATATATGAATAAAGCACAGTCATACTCAGTTTTGCCCCCGCTGTATTTTTAAATATGCAGTAGAGGTATTTAAAGGTAGTAGAGGACATGTACCTGTATATAAAAAACGCGCCCTATAGTCCGGTGCGCCTTATGTGTGTGTTAAATACAGAAATGGCACACATAACTGAGACTGTGCCTTTTAGTACGGTGCGCCTTATGTTCGTGAAAATACGGTAATTGGCATCTCTTACTGGGAGTGGCAGCCTAGTGGTTAGGGCATAGAGAATCCTGAGGTTTTGAGTTCAAGCCCCACTCCCACAGCCTCCACACTGGGTCTCTGAGCAGGACCCTCAACCCCAAACACTGCTCCTTGGGCACTAAAAAATGGCAACCCACTGCTCCCCTAGGAAATGGGTTAAATGCAGACGTAAATTTCTCCAATATGAGATCAATAAAGTTCATTTATTATTATGAATTGTCCTTAGGTGTGTGTTTGTGACAGGTTGGCAACCTGTCCAGGGTGTACCTTCCCTCTCACCCATAGACTGCTGGAGACAGAAACTAGTCAAACATCTGGTGGCTTAGAATTTCAACATAGACAAACGGCAGGTACTTTCACAGTTAAAGGCTGGTTTAAACTCCCGCAGCAGTGTGCTGCAGTGAGCTTTTCGGAAATATTTTTGATTTATGCTCAATACTGAAGCGTGGTCAGCGCTATGTTATTCCACGTCCAAACGCAAAAGGGACAATCACGAACTAGCTGCCTAGAGATGGCCGAGGCGGTGAGGAAGTGGAAAAATGCAAGGGGCAAGTTTGTGCGACAACGGAGGGACATGAGGGCGAAAAAGAGCGGAGATCCAAGTGGGAAAGGGGTTCCAGCGTTCTCACGCACCTCGCTCTTTTAGCTGGTCCATCTTCATGCGTCATTTTTTTCACAATGGCGGTCATACAAACAAAACAAGCCAGCAAGGTACCAAACAGGATATATGCATAGCGTACAATTTTGGAGAGGTGCACCAGACTGTCTGCTGAAGAGGCGAGGGCACATTTGCGTTCACTGCGACACACAGATAACCTGGTTTCTGAGTATAGATTGGCCTTTAGAGTGCCAGGATGGGAAATGCCTCAATCTATCTCAATCTAGGGTCAATTCTCCAAAGCACATTCCAAGTCATGTGTAAATTCAATAGTCTTCTATCCTTCTCCTTGGTTGTTGGAGGCTTTTGTTTTACAGGGGCTATGTGATAGACCTTTTGAATCATGATGAATGTGAATATGCAACTTCTTTGGAATTATCAGAAAAATGACAGCATCTTTGAAAAAAGTTATCTTTGTAATTTTACATCCGACTTGCAATGTGCTTAAGAAGATGGACCTCCCTGCTGCTTGAATACATCTGTAGTCCAATTACTGTCATGGTCTTGTTTCTATTGTGCTTTACTTTGCTCTATGTTTCCTAGTTTTATTGGTTTAATTCTTTTTTGTTGTAATTTCTAGATTTGTTAGTTTGCATGTTTTTCTGTTGTCCTCTGTTGCCCTCTAGTGTGTCTGAGTGTTCCTTTCCCCTTGGCTCCCTCGTTGTCTCCTCTCACAAACTGCTCCTTGTCAGCTCGTTAGCCCTCCCTTTGTCTCTGTCAGCTATATATCCTCTCCCTCTGCTCTCATTTTTTGTTGGTTCCTTGTTGTCGCTGGTCCTGTCGTTGCTGCTTTCTTCCTACCTCATCTCTCCCTGGCTCCTCGTGATTATTTTTCCCTGATGTCTCCATGGTTCTGGTTTGTGTTAAATATTAAGTTGAATTTTGGACTCCTGCCTTTGTTAAACTGTTTCCTCTCATTAAAACTACAAGAACTCACATCTGCGTCCCTGCCCCTGCATTTGGGTCCTCAAACGCCAACCCAAACTTGACAATTACAGTTTGTTCTAGTGAGAGCCGACAAAGTTGACAAAGACTCCTGGAGTCAGAAAAAAAAATTTGCGAGAGTTTGGTTCCTTACAATTTAAGCCTGTTGTGTGGTTGTCATGACCTGGATGAATGACAATATACACAGGCAAACTTTGATGATATCTAAACTTCATATGGATGCTAATTGGGAATTGTAAATATATGTACTGTATAACTACTGTGTTTTTGTTATGCTCTTAGTTACTAAAAGACAAACGAATAATAGTTGCCATGATCTGGTTGACTATGATGATGACATACTAATAAGAACATTATATATACCAGTGTTCCTGTGCATAGTCACAAGGTTCTGCTCAAATAAACTGTAGTTTAGAGTACTGTGTACTGTGTTCAATAAACTGGTTGAAACAGGACTCGGCGCATAGTGCAGAGCCAATGTTCCAATGCACCCAAAGAGTATCATCCCATAGTTCTTCAGTTGAAAAACAACATCTATATTGAATTTTTGAACTGATTGAAGTGGGA